AAACGGCATTTATGGATTTAATTTCCTGATAAAATATACATAATTTTAAAGATGAGACTTTGTTTCTTATCGAAAAGAACAAAACACAAACCTTACGATTACAGAATGTAATGTATAGTAATAATGTATATAGCCTAGTGAAGATTTATTCACGGCTATGAATTGAAACGGATTAAGTTCCGCACGTGCAGTGGTTAAAATGACACTGTATTTGTTCGGTACGAATAATAAGTGTACCATTACACCCCTAGAAAACATTTAAAAAACCCAAACTGCACTTACCTGCATAAGAATGTGTCTGGGCAAAGGCTGTTGTTGTAAATAGGGAGCTTTTTCATAATCTTCTTCTTTATTAACGGCGATTGAAAGAGGAAGCAGCGCGGGAAATAACGGATATATTGTCAAAGTTTCAGTAATCCACCAATAGGAATAAGGGAAGACACAAAGCAACCAATAGCATTGTTGAATGGGCTGAGATGTGGACTGCCACTAACCTGCCAGCAGTTTATATGTGTTTTTCCAAATAAAAGCCAAATGTTAACCATAAGTTAACATATTCCATGGTGTGCCATAGCCAAGCCACATATGGCTCTCAGTCGTGTGCTATCATCTGGACCATATACCTCAAATAAATTGTCATCCAAAAGAAAATTCCCTCCAATTCTAAATCCATGGCAAAACATATACGGTTAAAGTTTGGCCCATATGTGCCCACCCATGCCATACCTAGGCCAAATGTGACAGCTATCAGCCACATTTGGCCCAAACGTTCTTGCTATCTGGGTTCTGTCAGCAATACGGGCTATTCTACTTAAGTATTTCATATGTAATGAAAAACAGACTAAAATAATAATGTCTGTGATTGTTGTAGTACCCATTTTCCTACAATCATCCTCTTGTCTGTCAATGCCGCTCATTTTCATCATTAAACTGAAGTCATATCCAGCTAAGTTGGCGCTCCAGTCCAGCAGGGGGCGGAAGTGCGTCATATGTTGCTGCGTCACCCGCGCAGAGCGCACGACGGAAGTAGAGCAGTGTTTTCTTTAAACCGCTGCGTGATTAACGTGTTTCAGGTCGGTTATCTGAATTTACATCATAATCTGCTTTATGACTTTCTGATATGCTTTCTCGGATCTCGCTACTGGACGGTTTAAATGATTTAAGTTTTTCAGAGAAGAGAGCAGAATATGTTTTAATATCTCAAATCCAGCAGCTAAACGTGTGTTTTAAATAAAGGTGACTTATATTTTTTTAACCATGGTTTTATTGTAGTAAAAGTGTAGTAACCTTGTTTTTTGGCGTATTTATTATTTGTATAACCACAACTTTCCTACAAATACCACGGTTAAACTATGGTTAGTGTTGCAAAACCGTGGTTAATTTTTGGTTACCATGTTTTAACTATAATAGTAACCATGTTTTTTTTGGTTTTATTTGTAGTAAAAAAAAAACATGGTTAATTTTCGTAAGGGTTATAAGTCACGTTTATAACATTTTGATGTTTTCTTGGGCACTTTTTTGTCTAATAGCGTTAGGTAAGAATTTTTTCTTAGTAAAACTAATAGATTTAAGCATTTTTATGTAAAGGTTACATTTATATTTACATTTAGTCATTTAGCAGATGCTTTTATCCAAAGCGACTTACAAATAAGGCCAATGGAAGCAATCAAAATCAACAAAAGAGCAATGATATACAAGTGCTATAACAAGTCTCAGTTAGCCCAAAGCAGTACCATTAAAGTTTCCATTAAATCTGTAGTTGGAACGTTTTATCAAATACTTTTTTTATGTTTAGAGTTTATCTTTATTACCATTGTCCCAGACATTCTGTCAGAAACCACAAAAGGCTATTGTAAATATATAGCCTATGCCTAACTAAAACTATAATGATTTTACCAAAAATCAGTGACATTACTGACTGGCCATATGAAGGCAATGAACTTTCACAGTTTATATTAATATAAAGAAAGTTTGTTGACATGCATGGTCAGCAGTTAAATATACAGTATAAATTTTATGATGATAACATATTTAACTATTTAAAATAGTAAGCAAGCGCTGCTTTGTTTACGCGTCGTATATCGGCACATTCGGTTGTAGTCTGTGTGGTGTGTTCAAGCACAGCTTTTTGGTCCAACGCTGCCGACACAAGGCAACAACACTGTCAGCTAGGGCTGCACGATAAATCGAGATGGCGATTCGACAGAAGCAGAGATTGTCATGCATATCTTTCAGTGAAGCACGGTTCTGTGATCAGCAGTAAATCTCCATCCGAAGGCCAGAGGGCGCTCTCGTGCTGAAACTCCAAATACGCCTCGCATAAGAAACCCAGAAAATGCCTATCGCTGCAGTTGAATAAACAGAAGATTCAATTGCTTTCATTGATTCAACGTGACTAATAAACACATGACTACGGCAATATACGGATTATCTGAGTTCTTATTATAATTTTCATTAAAATAAAGTATATTTATAATGCAATGCCTTTATCACTGCTTAAATACTATGAAATATGTTGCGTGCCTTATTCTGTGTAAGAAGCCACATCATCTCACAGAAGGATTTATTTCAAACACTCGACTGACGTTATGAAGTGAGTTTGGAGTAAAAATATGTTATTAAATGTGGTATTTTCACATGCTTTCAGACGGAGCAGCATTTACTTCACAGAGCCGTAGTTCACTGAGAAGCTATGCAAACAGCTGTCATTATCGCGAACGATTTCTTCGATTTCATAATCGCGCAATAAAATCGTCTGCGATTTTTTTGCGTAACTTGTCAGTGAACTACGGCTATGTGTAGTAAATGCTGCTCCATCTGAAAGCACGTGATGATGATTTACTGCTGATTACAGAACCGGCTTTACTAACAAAATGCGCATAACAATCACATTCGATTAATCGTGCAACCCTAGTAAAGACGAATTTATTGAAAGTATACATATGACACCTTATGAGTATCTACACTGAACAAAATTATAAACGCAACACTTTTGTTTTTGCCCCCATTTTTCATGAGCTGAACTCAAAGATCTGAGACTTTTTCTATGTACACAAAAGGCCTATTTCTCTCAAATATTGTTCACAAATCTGTCTAAATCTGTGTTAGTGAGCACTTCTC